GGGCCAGCCTGTGTCCCCATCGTCCCCTCCCTAAAGGATGTCTTTCCACCATTCTCCGCTGATTGCCATTTATAACGTTAATAATCCCCCTCAATTCCCTCGTTATCACGGTTAATGACAGCACCGGCGCTTTCCCTTTCCCTCTATTACCGAACAAAGGGGCTGATGCAGAATAAAGGGACAATTTTCTCAGGCTGGTCCTTTGCTCCCTGAATGTCCCCAAGCTGGTGGCACCAAGCTGGTGGCACCACCGCACGTGGCCTTTGCTCGGTGGAGCAGGGGAAAAAAACGAAGCTTCAGAGCTAACGAACCCACCTGACAATCCCACCAGGTGCGCGGAGAAGGGAGGGACCCCGCAGAGCTGCGAGTGGGACCCCAGTGCTTGGTTTGGGGGGGACAAGGTGGTCCTTGTCACCATCTCCAGCGCCTGGGACACACCAGTGGACACGGTCCATCTCCATCCGCACCACCCTGGAGCACCTGGACTATCGTGGGTCTGCCTCTCGGAGTCAGCAAGTTCACAGCTTTGTGGCTTCTCCCCATGTGTCACCTCTGTCCCTTGTCACCGCAGGGCTGGACACATCCACCATCACGTCCTTCACTACCTCGGTGGCCCTGGACTACGAAGAGACACTCACGGCCACGGCCACAGGTTTTTTTTCAGCAGCCACTCGGCTCACCCTCGCGTCATAGCCAGGGCTGGGGGAGGCACTGGGTCTTCTGTGTCCTCCTGTGACCCCAGCGCGGTCACCCTGAGGTCCCACCGCGTGTAGCTGAGGCTCAGGGGGTGACATTGCCCATGGCACAGGGTTGCCACAGGGCCACCGTGGTGCCAGAGGTCCCCACCACCAACTAGAGCAGGGGCAGTGGGTGCTGGACCTGGACTCCCCCCATGCTCATGTGTCCCCACGCTTGTCCCAGCAGTGACAGATGGCAGGGACCAGCCCTCCCAGGCCACCGAGGTGGTCACCACTGCTCTCCTCACCATCGACTGTGTGTCCACTGCTAGTCCTGCCTGGGGTCCAGCATGGCCCCCCGGGCTCCATGGCCCTGGGGGGGTACCCCATATCCCCAGGGCTTGCCTCATGTCCCCAGGGCTCACCCCATATCCCCAGGGGCTTGCTCCCATGTCCCCAGGGGTTACCCCGCAGCCCGGGGGCTCACCCCATATCCCCAGGGCTCACCCCGTGTCCCCAAGTCTCATCCCATGTCCCCAGGTGTTACCCCGCAGCCCAGGGGCTCACCCCGTGTCCTCAGGGCTCACCCCATGTCTGCAGGGGTCACCCCACAACCCAAGTCTCACCCCGTGTCCCCAAGGGTCACCCCACAGCTCACCCCACAGCCCAGGGGCTCAGCCCACATTCCCAGCGCTCACCCCACATACCCAGGGCTCACCCCATGTCCCCAGGGCTCACCCCATGTCCCCAGGGGTCACCCCACATCCCCAGAGCTCACCCCATGTTCCCTGGGGGCTCACCCCATGCCCCGGGGGGGGGGTCAGAGGGGGACCCCATGCCATGTCAGCGATGCCTGTGCCGGGGGACCCCCCACGCAGGTGGCGGCG